CAGGCAACCGCCCAACCCCCCCCCCCCCCCGGTTCAATACAGTCCAGTGGCACCTTTAAGACCAAGTTTTATTCAGGTACAAGCCCTCCCTCCTCTATGAGGACAGATCTGTACGTTCTCCCCGCCCCAATAGCTAGCAATCCAAAACAGTCCAGTGGAGCGTGAGCGGTGGATGTTGCCTTCTGACACACTTCCAGTGATGTCAGGGGGTGTGGCATATGCAAATAAGTAATGCTAATGAGTTATGCTAATAAGCTCCTGCACCTCTTTTTCTACTAAATGACCCCTGATGATAAGCATACTTACCAGGAAGAAATTCCCAGTGATTTCTATGAATCTTACTTCTGGGCAAACATATTCAGAACAGCAGCATTTGTTATTGTTTCTGGTAAGGTTTTTAAAATACCAATGGTGGCAATACTGAAATCTTTTAAAATGTAATATAAAATAATTTTTACAGTACCTGATAAAATTCCCGAAGCCAATTCTTCTGCAAATTTTCTGGCTGGAAAGTAAAATAAAATGAATTAGACTACTATACAATAAGATCAAAAAGAACAATCTCAAGAAGAATGTCCACACTCAGCTAAGAAGAGCAACTGACCTCAGCGCACATGCTCACACAACACATGCAACAGAAACAGCATAAATTGGAGGGGCTGTGGTTCAGCGGTAGAACATCTGCTTGGCATGCAGAAGGTCCCAAGTTCAGTCCCCAGCATCTTCAGTAAATGGTGCCTGGGGTAACAGACATTAAGGAAAGCTTTTTTTCTGCCTGAGGCCCTGGGCAGCAGCTGCCAGCCACAACAGGCAATGCCAAGCAAGAAGGACTATTGTCTGACTCTGTACAAGGTAAGTCTGAATGTTCAATCCGCTAACAGGACACAGTCAATATTTCAAAACCCACCCTCAGGCTTTTCAGTAAGCTGTTTCTTTTACTGAAAGCTGGCGTGCTGTACTAGCTGAAGTGTTGGGCTCTGCCCAAAGAGCAGCCTCACAGGGTCGTCGTAAGGATAAAATGTAAAACCACAAATGCTGCCCTGAAGTCTTTGCTCTTCCTCCCGAGTGCAAACGTGGTGATTAAACAAACAGTTTTATATTCAGTGATAACAAGCATAGTTACAGCCTGAAAATCCTTAAATCGAATTTCTACAAATCCCCTATGCTCCCATATATAATTTTGGGAGGAGCATGTTTGCACACTGGCAGTGCAGTGCAATCCTATGCAGGCTTGTTCGTAAGTAAGTCCCACTATTTTCAATTGGTCTTACTCCCAGATAAAAATCCATACAATTACACTGCTAAAAAACAGATTTCAGTCTTTTTTGTTCTTGCTTGCTTTTAATAGTTCCAGACCAATCACTAGAATAACCACCCTTTAAACTAGTAATCCTTTTTCCAATGTTTCCTTGCACTGACTTTAAAGCGCTTACTCTGTGCTTATGTTCATAAACCAAACTTATACCAATATACATGTAAAGCCACTTAAATTTCAAGCCTCTCCAAAACCATTTCAAATACTCTACCTTAAATGGTTTGTGGATCAGGGTATTTATCTCCAAATCATGTCATACAAAAATATATACAAAGATCTGACCTTTTTTTCCTTGCCAGACATTTTTTGGCTTTTACCATGTGCTCTCATAAAACGGTATTATAAATGCCACGGAGGCTAATTGGGCTTGCAAAAGAGTTTGAAGGCTGGAAAGCAGTGAAGCTATTACTGCAGCTGAGCTTACATAACTGCACAGATCCTTGCTATTAAAACTGACTACTGAAACATAGCATCCTCACCTATCTTATCTACGTTACGAATGTACATGTATCCCTCTAGCCATATCCTCCTTTGGTGGGAAACAGGATAAACACAGCAAATACAACACATTACTGAAAACAGGGGGATCTATTGTCAGACAGGTAACTCAGGGCTGGGGGGGGGGATATTCCACAAGGGAGGGTCCACTATAGAAAAGGTTCAAGTCCAGACTAGATTCAAGTCCAGTAGCACCTTACAGACAAACAAGATTGTCAGGAAGACGGGGACGGCAAAGGATGAGATGGTTAGACAATGTCATAGATGCAATGAACATGAAATTGAGCAAACTTCAGAGGATGGCGGAAGACAGGAGGGCCTGGCGTGATCTGGTCTATGGGGTCGCGAAGAGTCGGACTCGACTGTGCGACTGAACAACAACAACAAAAAAGCTTTCAAGAGTCAAAGCTCCCTTTGTCAGATAAAAGTCGAAATGGAGATCAGAGTCCTTATATCCCAGCCAGAAAGTGGGAGGGAAGGAACTCAAGATACAGAGGTACAATTGTGCATTGTTCTCAGCTTGATCAGAGCAGAGGAGAAATCTTTAGGGGCAGAAAATTAGCATATGTTGTGAGATAAGAATCCTATGTCCCTATTCAGCCCTGGGGAGTCCATTGTTCTGAATTTTGTGAATGAAATCAAGCTCAGCAATCTCGTTGTAATCTCCCCTTGAAGCTTCTCCGTTTGAAAACTTCCACTCTTAGATCAGCAGTGGAAAAGGTTTTCTCTATGGCAAACACCCACTTTACTTCTTAGGTGGGGCAAGTATTTATTTATTTATTTTTATAACTTTGATTTATGAATCGCTCTATCCCTGAGTACTCAGGGCTCTGAGCTATGAACAACCACGATAAAATACAGTGAAATAAAAATAGTTCCAAACAATTAAACAATTACACAGAGAAGGGCCTGAGCAAATGAATTGAGTTCTTGGAAATGTATATACCATGTGTATACATATGGCTGACTATAGGTATGTCAGACTACAGATAGGAGCCATTGTTAAGTGCTCTGCATGTTCGTCTCCATGAGCACACGTAGGCAGAGACAGCACATTTGTTCCCAGTCCCTTTCAGCATTCATGATGTTGTGTGTGGCAAACTAGTATAAAGTAGCAACAGGCATTTATTTATTTATTTATGGAATTCGATTTTCAACTGCCCTCCCCCCAAAAGACAGGGCTCAGGGCGGTGTATGCCAAAATATAATATAATACATCTGACACAGCAGACATAGGAGTTCGTGGGGTAGTCTTACAGTGGATTATCTCATTCCTCCACAGTTGGGGAGAGAAGGTTGCACTAGGGGGGAGGGTGTTAACTAGGTTCCACTTAACATGTGGGGTTCCTCAGGGGACAATCCTCTCTCTGATGTTGTTTAACATCTACATGCACCCCCTCACCCAGCTGTATCTGTTGATGGGCAGCCGCCCAGACTCCGCCCCACAAAATTTGGATGAGGGGCTGAAGGTTGTGGTGGGATGGTTAAGGAAAAGTCAGCTGAAATTGAATCCAACCAAGATGGCAGTTCTGTGGTTGGTTGGGGGGGGGGATACAGGATTGGGGTCCCAACTTCCCACTCTTGATGGTGCACCTCTAATACCGGTGCAAGCCATCAAGAGTTTGGGCCTGATCTTGGATACCTTCTTACCTATGGAGGTCCAGATCCTGAACATTGCCAAGCTAGCATTTTACCAGCTGCACCAGGCAAGACAACTGGCTCCTTTCCTGTCACGCCCTGACCTAGCCACAGTGATCCACACAATGGTCACCTCCAGACTGGATTACTGTAACTCACTCTATGCTGGCCTGCCCTTGAGACTGATCCAGGAACTCCAGTTGGTCCAGAATGCAGCATCACAGGCCCTGACAGAAGCACCACAAACCACACATATTCAACCTGTGCTGCAACAGTTGCATTGGCTCCCAGTGGAGTACCGAGTCAGGTTCAAGTTCTTGGTATTGACATTTAAGGCCTTGAGCAGACTGGGACCCACGTATCTTCAGGACCACCTCCTCCAATACATCTCCCAAAGAGCTTTACGCTCTGCTGAGAACAGTCTACTGGTAAACCCTAGCCCTAAAGACGTTCGGCTGTCCTCGACAAGAGTCAGGGCCTTTTCAGCCCTGGCTCCCACCTAGTGGAACGCTGCCAGATAACATCTGCGCCCTGTGGGACCTGATGCAGTTCCGAAGGGTGTGTAAGGCAGAGATGTTTTGCCAGGCTTTTGGTTGAGGACAGCAATGAGTTCCACCTTAATTGGTACTCCCTCCCCCACCCTGCTTTCTTTCACCTACTATGAGACAATAATACATATTGTATTTATTTTGGCGCCACCTGATGTTACCTCTAACTCTTAACTGTTTTATTTTTTGGATTTTATATTGTATATCTTCTGTTGTTAACTGTCCTGAGCTCTGTGAATTCAGGGAAGGGTGGTATAAAAATTGACTAAATAAATGAATAAATAAAAACAAACCAAGGCCATTAAAACAACAGTAGTCAGCCTAAAAGATGATGCTCTCAGAGCCTTTTTCTTTACACACACACACACACACACACACAAAAGCAGGGGGTGGAAAACTTGCTATTGAAAAGGTAGAATTCTTTGGGATGAACTACATACCAAAACACTGCAGAACATTAATTTCTTATAGCCCGTATATTAGGGGGAAACTGTGAATAATACATTATCATCCAAATGAGGAGAAATTATTGTATTATTTTAGGCCAAGGACATTAATGTTTTCAGGGTGACTACAACAGCAGTTTTATATTGCCACGGGCGACATTTCCAGAAAAGACTGATGCTCTAATGTTTAGCCTCATACTGCAATTGGTAACTAAACAGAAGATGACGAGATCAGTTTGGGACACTTTCAATATTTTTGTTTTAAAAAGGTTCTTCTGTTGTTACAAGAACTGCAACTTTTTGTAAAAAAGAAAAAGAAAAATATGGCAGATTGAGCTTGTAACAGAAACAGGAAGTTGATTTTTAGTAACTGGAATACAGATTAACAAATCTCTGATGTACAACCAAAGCAAGGAGCGGTTTATGGCTGAGTCCATCTTTTAAAGCTGCATGCGCAGGAAAAAGTGAAGAACACCAGAGTACCCAGAAAATAAATTTATGGACAAGGAAAGCAGTCAGTCAGCAGTGTTATGAAAAGGGCTAACTGCACTGTAAAATACTTTATGGCAGCTGTTTTATAGATGCCAAATAATTCCAGCATTACCTAAGGAGAGAAGAAGGGGAGAGAAGATGTCCAGTTCCCATCTCCAACCACCAATTTGGTGACTTGTTAACACAGAACTACATTCTGGAATATTACGCAGAAAATTCAAGCCACTGCAAAATGGTACAGGTTTTTTGGCTGCTAAAAATGTAAAATCACACATGCCCACTACTGCTTGAAATAGTTCTATGTATAAAAAATGACCATGAACCAAATTTTTAAATATACAGTTAAAACTGCAAAATGAGGCCAGGACTGCCAACATCCATCTCCTCTTTGCACCAACCAAAACCCACCAAATATCTGGGGGGAGAGAAATCAAATGCTTCTACATTAGGAAATCATCTTTCTCTTCCTTTTAGTAACATTGAACACGTAACAAAGGCCCCATTGGTTCGGGATGAGAAAGGAAGTCTCCTTTTTCTCCTAACAAAGTCATCAAATCTGAACTTCTGT